GCCCGGCCTGCTTTGGCTTCTTGTGTCCACCTTTCATCCACAAGGCCAGCGGTTAGCTTGGGCTGGTTCTTAGATGACCACAAAGAGAGGCAGGTAAGTAGTCACTTTTACACACAACGAACCCAGACCCCTAGTCTGGGCTGAGGGGTGTTGGGCAGAGCCCCTGTCAGCCTGGGCCAAGGGACTTCCAGAGCCCTAAGATGATCACTCAGAGGCATCCGGGGATGGCTGGTGTTAGGAACAAGGGGCTTTCAGCAGAAGCCTGGCCCCAAAAAGGATGCCAGAGCTGACAGTCAAAGAAATACACACCGAGCAGGACCAGACAGAAGAGCCACCCGATAGCTTCCGCTGTGCTTCCTGCATCTGGCTCTGTTTGAGAGCCCCCTGTGTGCAGAACACAAACCCCTCTTTGTTTGAGTGCCTCTGAAGTGCCTTCCTGGTCCTGGCAGCTGGACAGGGCCCTGAATAGGCCAGAGAGCCTCAGTGGCAGGCCACCCCGGGCTGGGTGACGTGACGTATCCGATCTCACAGGAGGTTATCTGTGTTTTCTTCCCCTTTGCTCTGGGCAGTGCTGTGTTTGTTTCGCCTCATTTACATGCTGATTGAGAGTTTCGCTGTTGCACTCTTAAGCAAACACGGTCCCTGTTCCCCAGACCCTCAACACTGGAGAGCTCCCTCCTTCCTTCCCTGGGAGTGTTACTATGTCTCATGAGCTTACTGACACCTGCTGGCAGTCCGTGGGTATTGCAGGCAAAGCCGTTCTCAATCCAAGTCTACCTGTATCTACCCCAGGAGCCCTAGCAACCACTCCCCTCACTCTTACTGAGTACCAATAGCTGGGCATACGGCAATAAATCATTTCATTATTAATTAATTTATTTATTTATTTTTGAGACAGAGTCTCGCTCTGTTGCCCAGGCTAGAGTGCAGTGACCTGACATCATAGCTCACTGCAGCCTTAAATTCCTGGGTTCAAAGGATCCTCCTGCCTCAGCCTCCTGAGTAGCTGGGACTACAGGCATGTGCCACCATGCCCAGCTAATTTTTTCTATTTTTAGTAGAGACGGGGGTCTCACCCTTGCTCAGGCTGGTCTCAAACTCCTGAGCTCACGTGATCCTCCCACCTCGACCTCCCAGAGTGCTGGGATTACAGGCGTGAGCCACTGCGCCCAGCCAGATGGCAGCAAATCAGACAGACTCAGCGCTCAACCCTTGTGAAGCTTACAGAAAATAATAGTAACTAAGGGATAACATATACAGCCACAGTTTTCCCAGCAAGGGGGGAAAAACAACTAGAGGGAAAGAGAGGGCGGGGCAATACATTCACATTTCATCTAATTGAAAGTCCCTCAGATCCAACACTCCAATCCCACTTCTGGCTTTATTTGTCCCATAGCGTTTATCATGTGTCCTACGTATCATGTGTTATAAAATATGACATAAATGTTCTACTTATTGATGTCTTGTCTGTCTCCCTATTAGGATGTCAGCCACACCAGAGCAGGGACCTTTTCTTTTTCTAGCTCGCTGTTGCTCTGCAACAGTGCCCAGGGCGTCATAGTAGGTGTTCAGTAAAATCTGTGGAGTGAAAGAGTGTGGGTCCTAGATGTCTGCAGTGGGGGTGAGCTTGGGGTAACGGCTTCCATGCTCAGTGATGAGGTTTTTTTTTTTTTTGGAAATGACATCAAGCGATGACCTCAGAAGGCAGTGACTTGCAGAGAGCCCAGGATGCCTGGCCTCAAAGAGCCAGATTGCTCATAAAGAGAAGGCTGTGTTTGCGGTAGCTGTGGAATCCCTGAGTCACCACTTCTGAACATGCGACTGAACCTCTGAGCCTCACTTTCCCCATCTGTAAAATGGGGATAACAGTAGCATCTACACCTCCCTGAGTGGTTATAAACATTGAGAGGCGGGGAATGCAGAGTGCTTGGAGCAATGCTTGCATACAGCAGGTGCTTAATAAATGTTTACTTTTCGGATTCCTTGGGTGGTGGCTACAGGATTGACCCACAGTGGCCTCAGGGACTCTTTGGCTCTAATTTGTGGCAAAATCACCCTCCCTGCGTACCCTCAGCAGGTGGCCTGCTGGACGGACAGAGCCACAGGCCTGCTCTGCCATCACTGATGGGTACACAGGGAAGACCCCTGAGGTTTCCAGAGACAAGGCAGGTACGGGAGCTCCAGGGGCACCTCAGGCACAGGAAGCGGGTGCAAGGGCAGATGCCAGGTGGGTGCGCCAGGTGGGGGCTGCTAAAAGGAGCCTTTGCGGGCAGCCCCCAGGAAAGCACTCACTTCCCCAAAGCTCCGACTGGGAAGGGGCTTGGACTTGACTTGGGCTAAGAGTTTGTGAGAACGGCCCTGAGGCACGTGCGGGGAGGTGAGACAGGCGGAGCTACGGGGCACAGGCCGATCCACTCGCTGCTCTCAGGCCCACTGGTGCTAAATCCAGAGGGGCCCTGAGGGCTTCAGGGCCAGGAGGTGACGGGGTGACAGGGTCCAGCGTGCAGGCAGGTTGGAGGGACGCGGGTATTTCTCCTGCCTCCAAGTGCCGTAAAGGGAGGCACAGGAAGCATCGCAGCCCAGCCGGGCTCTGTGTGGGAGATGTCTGACTCGTCACCAGGAGGGAGGCAGGGTGCTCAGGGGGTGCGTAGCCCCCAGGTCCCCCAAGAGAAACCCTGGGGCTGAGGTAGTACAAGAAGATCCGGGCAGGTACCGTGACATGGGGACAAGCTGGGAGATGTGGAGTCTGGTGCTCTTTTGGGGGGACTGATTTGGCTTAGCCGGATCCATAGCCTCTTTCCCACCCTCAACCTGTCCCCTGGCCCCCCCACCATGCAGCCCTCATGTCACCTGGGGGTCCCCATGGGCGCTGCGCCGAGACCGGTCCCGAGGGGAGAGGCTGTTGATCTTGCACTCATAGCAGGCTTCGGGTGAGAGCAGCTCCTCGTCCGGGGCGTCCTGGGGAGCGAAGCCCAGGCCGGAGACACAGTGCCTGGGCCGGGACGGGCAGGGTGGGTGGGGCTTCAGTGTCAGGCTGGTGGGACCTCCCCCCATCCCCCTCCACTCCATTCTGAGCCGTGCCACAAACGCCCGTGTGCAAATGCGCCTCTGCCTGTGTGCTGCTGTGGCCCCGTGTGCACCCACAGAGGGGTGTGTGTATGTTTGTGCATCCCTGGTGGCATAGGTGTGATCACAGGAGGGAGATGACGTGCACATGCTGGGATGCATGAACGTGCCTCAGTGTACCCAGGGGCGTGAGTGTGTACCAGCGTATGTGCACACATGGAGGATGACGCATGCAAGTACACGTGTGCTTACTGCAATGTGTGAATCCACACGAGTGTGCCTAGGATGTGTACAGTGGAGCCAGCACACACAGAGGGCTGCCGATGTGCGCTTTTTCACCTGCGCAAACCAGGATGTGCCAATGGTACTCGAGTGTCCCCAGGGATGCGGGCACGTGGGAGCCTGCGTGCATGCCGGGGTAGTGACATGGGCGCACACACGTGTGCACGCTGGGATCTATAAATGCACGAGGGTGTCCCGGCATGCTGGCGCCGGTGCACACTGTGCGGACAATTACGCGTTAGTGGTGTGAGCCTGTGTGTGCACGGCCTGTGCGTGCACGGATGTAGGTGCCGCCCAGTTCTCTGCGCACGTGTGTACATGCTCGCAGGGCGTGGAGTCTGCCTGCCGCGCTCGAATCTCTCACCCTTGCCCAGCCCGGAAGTAGCCTCGGGGACAGCCACACAGGAAGCCTCCGGGCGTGTTGGCACAGCCGTAGCTACAGGGGCTGCCGCGTCCGGCACACTCGTCCACGTCCTGGCAGCCCCTGAGGGCCTGGTCGAAGTTGAAGCCAGAGGGGCAGACGCAGCGGAAGCCTCCGAGTGTGTTGTGGCAGGAGGCACTCCCGCAGGCGGCGGGCGACAGTGCACACTCGTTCTCATCTGCAGGCAGGCGGGGGGGGGGGGTTGGAGAGGAGGGAGGACACGGGGGCAGGAGTGGGGGTGGCCTTCACACCCCCTGGAACCCTCCACCTGGAACACTTCCCCTCTAGAGCCCAAGTCCAATGTCAGAGTCTCCAGCAAGCTCACCCTGAGCCCTCGGACTAGTTCTGCCCCACCCCCATTTTTCTCCCTGACACCTCCCACCCCTGCCCCAAACCGTGTGGTTTTCCTTGAAAGCATTTGTCTCTTTCTCTTTAAAAAAAAAAAAAATTTTTAGAGAAGGGATCTTGCTATGTTGTCCAGGCTGGTCTCAGACTCCTGGCCTCAAGCGATCCTCCCACTTCGGCCTCCCAAAGTGCTGGGATTACCAGCGTGAGCCCTCATCTTTAGATAGTTGTGCTTGTCACAGCATCTCGGAGATGACTCCTAGTCATTTGCTCTGGACAGATCCTGGTTGGGGGCCCAGCTTCCTCCCAGCCCCCGCCACTCACCCACACACTGGGCCCACTGGGAGTGCTGGGTGAAGCCCTGGGGGCAGCCGCAGCGGTAGCCCCCCAGCTCGTTCTGACAGCCATGCCGGCAGCGATGGGGCCCGTCACATTCATCCACATCTGACAAAGAGAGAGAGGGAGAGACGGTTCACCAGGGAGCCCTCGGGACCGCCCCCCACCGGCCCTGGGCACCACCCAAAGCCAGGCTGTACCTTCACAGCTACGGCCGGAGCTGTCCAGGGCAAAGCCTTGATGGCACTCGCAGCGGAAGCTGCCTGGGGTGTTTTGGCAGAGACCACGGGTGCCACACGGGCCAGGCTGGACTGAGCACTCGTCATTGTCTGCAGAGAACAGAGACAGGAGGGGTTCCCTGGTGGTTAAGGGACTCGTGTCCTACAACATGATCCACTGTGTGGCTTCAGGCAAGTCACTCACTCTCTCTCTGCCTCAGTTTCCCCCTCCATGAAATGAGATCCATCACCGTTCCCACATCACAGAATTGCCACCGATATTTGAGACGGTGCCCATAAAGGACTTTGTTTGAATCTCATCTCCATTGCCTCGAAGCTGTGTGACCTGGAGCAACTCACTCACCCTCTCAGTGCCATGGTTTCCTCAGTTGTGACAAGGAGATGATAATACCCACTTCACTGTGGTTTTTTTGTGGGAAATTAACCTAATTATGTAAAAGGCTTAGGACAGTGCCCAGTAAAAGAGGAAAACATTAATAGTAAGAAAATAAATCTCTGCAGTTTAAGCCACCCGGTGTATGGGGTTTTTTCCCTATTGGTTTTAATTTAATATTCTGTGAACTTCTTTCCATGTCTTTAAATATTCTTAGCATGCTTATACGTATCGTTTTTAATGGTCACCTCATCTTTGGTTGGTGCAGATTTCCTCTGTTTCATTTGACTAACTGCTGATTAAAAGACATGCAGATATTTCTAATCTTTCGCCATTTTAAACCGTATGAAGACTACGTAAATCTTTGTGTGTGTCTGTGACGATTTCCTTAGAATAAATTCCTAAAAGTAGAATGGGAGGCACAGAGGTCCGTAGCTGCAAGTTTTTGGATTCGAATGGCCAAATCCCAATCCCACTCTCGCAGCCTATGGTGTTTGTTACGGCAGCCCAGACTAAGACAGCTAGGTCACCAGGGGGCTGGCTACGGTGGTGACAGCCCAAGGCTCATAAACTGCATTCAGACTGGGGTTCTAGGGAATGAACAGTAAATTCCTGATGGAGAATCCTGGTTTTGGCTTCCCTGAGTACAGAGTTGTTTTTTATATTTGTTTTTTTTTCAGAGACACAGTCTCACTCTATCACTCAGGATAGCTCACTGTGGCCTCCAATTCCTGGGCTCAAGCAGTCCTCCCACCTCAGCCTCTTGAGTAGCTGCGACTATAACTATATGCCACTGTGCCTAAGTTTTAAATTTTTTGTAGAAGTGGGGTCTTGCTATATTGCCCAATCTGGTCTTGAACTCTTGGCCTCAAGAGATCTTCCCGCCTCGGCCTCCCAAAATGCTAGGATTACAGGCACGAGCCACTGTGCCTGGCCCTGAGTATAGAGATTCTTGACACTAGGCATATCCCTGTGGGGATGTGGCATCTCTCTCTGGCACAGCAGTTATTGGGGACATGGAACTTCTAAGTGGGAATGGCTCCTGCAGCTGCCAGAGTGCCTGAGCTGTCACTTGAGGGGCCACAGAGACTAGCTCTAGACTCCTGCCAGGAAGAAACATCTAGCACCACCTGTAGTTTCTTTCCCTTGCGTTCAGCAAAGCAAACCACGTGTCAGGGTGGGCTACTGTAGTCCTGCAAGTTTGATTTTCTAGTTTAGTCATCAGCAAACTGGGGCCCCACAGGACAAAAATCTGGCCCACTGCCTGTTTGTTATCAATAAAGTTTTATTGGCACACAACCGTGCTGATGCAGCTAGTCTGAAAACTTTACTGTTGCAGAAAAAGAGAAATGCATCCTGTTTCAAATCCCTCTTTTAAAACTGTAGCCCTCTCGGGAGGCTGAGGCAGGAGGATCACTTGAGCCCAGGAGTTCGAGGCTGCACTCTACCCTGGGTGAGACCCTGTCTCTAAAAAACAAAAAAACACCCAAAAAACTGCAGCTCTCTCCTTCTTTCCTGACCTTCTGCTTTTACTTTTTCTTTCTTTGATGCCACGCATGACCTTCTAACATGCTATTGCATTAACTTATCCTTATGTCTGTTTCCGGTCTGATTCTCTGCTACAGGGAAGCCCTGTGAGGATAGGATTCTCTGCCTCTTATATTCATGGCTGTACCCTGGGGCTCTCTAACAGAGTTGGGCAAACTGTTTCTGTTTCTGTAAAGGGCTCGGCTGCAAGACTCGACTCTGCCATTATAGAGCAAAAGCAGCCAGAGGTGATAGGTGAGCAAGTGGGCGTGTCTGTGTGCCAATAAAACTTTATTAACAAAAGAGAGCAGGGGGCCAGACTCGGCTGGCAGGCTGGAGTTTGCTGCCCTTTGGTCTGGAGCACTGCCTGGCACACAGTAGGTGCTCAGTAGGTGCTGGATGAGTGGATTAGTGGGAACCATAATGGAGTCACCTTTGGCTGAGCTCGGCCCTTCAGGGAGATCTAGTTCCCTGGGGACCACAAGACTCTAAGAAGCAATGGCAGTAGCAGATGCCCTTGTGGCCCAGGGCAAGGGGAGCTGCCCTGGGTCCAGGTCAGAGGGCCTCCTGGCTCCCAAGGGCGAGGAAGAAGGCAGGAGGTTCCAGATGCCAGGTAGGAAGGAAGAACTTTGTTCCCATCACCCCTAATTCAACAATGTCCGGCGCAGACCAGGTGCTTGGTACTTCTGCGGTGAACAAAAGTGTGAAGGCTGGAGTTGTGTCCCCGTGCTGAGTGGGGGGCAGAGGTCACTCACCAAAGCAGGCCTGGTGGTGCTGGGTGAAGCCAGGGGGACAGCGGCAGGTGAAGGCGCCGATGGTGTTGACACAGAGGAACTGGCAGTTGTGCTGTCTGGAGGTGCATTCGTCCATGTCTGCGACACAGACCGTCCCAGTGGGCTCAGGGAAGGGCCTGGCGGGGACTGCGGGGCTTCCCGGGGGCTGCTCTTGCCACCTCCAGGCACAGGGGTGGCAGGAGAAAGCCCTTGGAGGTGGCGCTGGACTCCATGCAGGTGGGAGGGGGCGAGACCACAGGGGATGTGCCCTGGGGGGGATGGGACAGAGCCCTAGAGGACACGGGGTGGGATGGGGGGAAGGACGTCACCTCTGCATGTCCGGCCATCTTCCTCCAACAGGTAGCCGCGGGGACAGGTGCACAGGAAGCTGCCCTCGGTGTTTTTGCAGAGGAAGGTACACGGCCTGGGGGCCTGGCTACACTCATCCACATCTGGGGGAGACAGCATGACGCAGGGGCGTGGGTCAGACAGACGTTCCTTGGCCGGGGGGACTCGGAGGCTGGGGTCTCCACCCAGATCCCTGCCACCCAGAATCTGTGGACTTACACAGGAATTGACACTTTTTCTGTAAAAACACAGTAAGTATGTTTGGTTTTGCACGTGGCCTTTGTATTAGCAAAGCAGCCAGGGAGGGTAAGTACACAAACAGGCGTGGCTGTGTGCCAATAAAACTTTATTTACAAAAACAAGCAGAGGGCCAGACCCAGCCCTCGATCTGGTTTGCCCCCCCTTCCCCCAACTTAGATGAATACTTGCTACAAGATGTAACTGAAAATCTCAGGATGCATCAATAAAAAAATGAAAGGAAGAAATAACACCAGGAAAGTGGCCCAAATGGGGGAAGTGAAGGAGGGGCCGGGCCTGGCCAGGGGTGCAGGGGGCGGGGGTGGGGCTCACCCAGGCAGGCCGTGGCAGCAGTGTCTGGCGCATACCCGGCCTGACAGTGACAGCGGAAGGAGCCGAGGCTGTTGATGCACTCGCCGTGGGGACACAGGTGAGCGATTACACGGCACTCGTCCACGTCTGGGGACAAGCACGGTGGGCAAGGCTGGGGTTGGCTGGCCGGCACTTCAGACCACCAGGGCATGCCTCCTTCTGTCTGCCCAGCAGCCCTGTCCCCGGAGGTGAGCCAGCCTCCCTTCGCCTCCCTGCACCCCGGCCCACGCGGACGCCAGCCTCAGGCCAAGGCTTGCACCTGAGCCGGCTCCTTCCACTGAGCGCGGGGCAATGCCACCCCCATCCCGGGAGGGAGACACATGTCCACCCTCCAGCCTCACCAGTGACACATCCTCAGGGCACCAACACAGACAGGGACACACAAGCACACGTGTAATGTCACACACCAGCCACAAGCCCAGACGCTCCTGCAGACACACAGGAACACGCACTCACACTTGGGGGTGCCCCTGTCCCCCAGACACACCATGGAAAAGGTGCTTTCTGCCCAAGCCCAGCAATGTCACCGCTGGTCACTTCAGATAACCTTTCTCCCCCTCAGCGACACACTCAAGGATACACACTCACACTCACACACACACATACACAAAACACACGCAAAGAATGAAGAACAGGCCGGGCATAGTGGCTCACGCCTGTAATCCCAGCATTTTGGGAGGCTGAAGCGGGAGGATCGCTTGAGGCCAGGAGTTCAAGACCAGCCTGGGCAATATAGCAAGACTCCATCTGCACAAAAAATTAAAAACTGAGCATGGTGGTGACACCGGTAGTCCCAGCAACTTGGGAAGCTGAGGTGGAAGGATCGCTTGAGCCCAGGAGTTGGAGGCTGCAGTGACCTATGATTGTGCCACTGCACTCCAGCCTGGGTGCCCGAGGTGTACGCTATCTCTAAAACAAGAAAAATAAGCAAAAAAACCCCAAAAAACAAACAACACTCGCCAGCTCACACACCTGCTCCCTCGACACCTGAGTTCATGCAGACATACGAGCACACGTACTGGTTTACACGCCTGCTAGCACAAAGACACGCACACACACACAGAGCGTCTCACACCTGCTAGAGGACAGACACGTGGCCTCGAGCAAACGCCCCTGCTCCTCAGCTCGCAGGGGCGGGGGCACCCACCTCGGCCCTCGGGGGTATAGCCTGAGCCATGGGGACACAGCTTCCTGTAGGCAGGGGTGCCGGGGAGGGCACAGAGCTCGCAGTGGGGCCCCCAGCCCCGGCCACCCCCGCAGCAGCACTCGGCCCTGGTGACGGCCTCGCTGCCGCTGGACTGCGCCTGGCACGCGGCCTGCAGCACCTCGGAGAAGCAGGGACCCTGCCGGATGTCTGCGGAGAACGGGCGGGAGGCCACAGGTCACTCCAGGAGGCTGGCTTGGGGGCAAAGACGCTGGGCTTGCTTTGGGGCAAGCTGCATTTTGGGGGGCAGGGTGTTGGAATAGGGGTGTCCAGGAGGGATCCGGACACACAGGGCAGATGGCACCACTGGGGTCGGCTCCTAGGAAGTGGGACACCTAGGGAGGGCCCATTCCGGGGTGTGATGCTTCTGGGGTTGGAGGAGTGTGGGGGATGGGGCAGGGGGAGGTGGCCTGCTCTTTCCGGGTGTGACCAAAGGGACAAAAAGAAGAGGGCCAAGGGGTGTGCAGTGGACATGTGTGTCTGCATGAGCTCAGCAACCCCCTTGGTGCCCTAGATTCTCGGGGCGCTCCCACGCAGCGGGAGGGACAGGAGGCAGTGCCACTTGGCAGGGGGCAGCGTCCACCGTGCCTGTGCCTGGCCACACTCACCATTGCACTCGGTGAGGGTGGGACCGGGCTGGAAGCCGTCATCACAGTCGCACCTGAAGCTGCCCACGGTGTTGACACAGTGGCCATTGGCACAGAGGCCGGGCTGGGCGCGGCACTCGTCCTCGTCTGGGGCGGGAGGGGTGACGCAGGCTAGCAGGGAAGCCACGGCCCCCAGGCCAGCCTCCCCAACAGCCCCGAAAGTCCCCTGTGGGTCAGCCCACGCCCTCTTGCTCTGACTTCTCCCCTCCCCTGGGGGGCTCCCTGCACCCCCAAAAGTGCCAGCATCCCCATACCTGTGCAGCCTTCCCCGGAGCCCGGCTGGGGCCGCATGCCCGGGGGGCAGATGCACACGAAGGTGCCGATGAGGTTCCTGCAGAGCATGCCGCGGGCACCGCAGTCCTGCTGGCCATCCGCGCACTCGTCCACATCTCAGGAGGACCAGGGACGGAAGTCAGCCAAAGCCGGGCAGGTAGAGCTCACCTGCAGATCTGCCAGGTGCCCGTCCCTCCCAGGAGGGGAGGCCCCAAACCCCCGTCCAGCCCCAGCCTCCAAGAAGTCCAGGGAGTCAGGAACTGCCCCCCAAAACTCGCATCCCCTGCCCACGTCAGGGTCTGTGACTCTATCAGGCCCTGGAACGCTGACCCCGAACCAGCCCTGGAAGGACCGAGTCCCAGCCCAGGGTCTCTCCCAGCCTTGACACTATGCACTCTGGGACAGGAAGGTTCTCTGTGGTGGGGGGCCGTTCTGCGCGCAGTGCAGGATATTTAGCAGCAACCGCAGTCAAAACGCCATACGAAATGTCTCAGGCATGGCTGCACGTGCTGTCGCCGCTGTCCTGCCCCTGCACGGCCTACCTCGGCACATGGCCCTGTCTTCCCGCAGGGTGTAGCCAGCCGGGCAGGTGCACAGGTAGGAGCCCTCGGTGTTGCGGCAGCGGAAGGCACAGAGCAGCGGGTTCAGGGCACACTCGTCGATGTCTGGGGGGCCAGGGGAGGTGTCGGGTGGGCGGGGTCTGCCTGTGGAACCCCCACTCCCTCCCCCAGGCTGGCCCCCCGACGGGCGTCCCCATCACACAGCCCAGGTCCCAGGCAGGCAGGGCCGTACCCTCGCAGGTCATCATGGGGCCGGGCTCAAAGCCGTCAGCGCAGGCACATTCGAAGCCTCCGATGACATTGGTGCATGTGCCTTCCCCGCAGGGGTGGCCGACGGCGCACTCGTCGGTGTCTGGGCGGGGGTAAAATGGTGGGGTCAGCGCCTGCAGAGAGTCCCCCATCCTCAATACTATCCTGTCTGCCTCCCTGTTGACTGCCGCAGACCGGACGGGGCCGGGTGTGACACATGTCCCAGCTGGTTAGGGGGCAGGTGAGCGGGACACGCTCAATGAGTGAGCGAGTGAATGAATGGGTGAGCGAGGGAGTTGATAAGTGAATGAATGAGTTGAGAGAGTGAAGGGCGAGGGAGGGAATGAGCGAACGGAGGAGAGAGGCACTGGGCGAGGACGGGACCGTGACTTGGGGGTGCCTGCCCCCCTCTGCTCTGTTCCTCCCTCTCCCGGGCAGAGGCCGGGGCAGGGTGACTCACCCACACAGCCGATGCCTGTGAAGTCCAGGCTGTAGCCGAAGGGACACTCGCAGCGAAAGGAGCCGTCGGTGTTGACACACACACCGTTAGTGCAGACACCAGGGTTCTCCGCACACTCGTTCACATCTGTGGGCGGTGGGGATTGCAGACACAGAGCCTGTCGCCGTGTGGGCCCCAGAACCCTGGCCACACTGAAAGCCCTGGGGACAAGAGCCCAGGCGCCAGGCTGGTGGGGTCCAGGGCCACCATATGTCTTGGAGAGAACCTGGGACTTGGGGACCCGGGGAGGGCAGAGACAGGGCTGAGGCGCTCACCTTCTCGAGAGTCATCTGGGCCTGGGACTGCCCCGTGGCCAAAGGGGCAGAGCTCCTGAAAGGTAGCTGGACACGGAGAGGGGAGGGGAGTCAGAGTCAGCCCCCAGGACTCCCGAGTGTGTGCAGGGACGGGTGAGGGGAGAATGAGCAGGGAAGGAGGGAGCCCACAATGAAGAGGGGACTCTGGGCAGAGGTGGGGTGCTCACCGCTGCCCTCCTGAGGACACAGCTCACAGGGGTCACCCCAGCCCTCGCCCGGCCTCTTGCTGCAGCAGCACCGGGTCTTGGTGGTGTTGAAAGCTTTGGGCACCGAGCACTTTCCGGCCTCGAAACGGGTGAAGCAGAAACTCTGTCGTGTGTCTGTGGGGTGGGGTGGCCTCCGTTACCCTGATTAGGAGCCATCAGCAGTGCCCACCTGCCCCCCCGCCCCGCCCCCACCCTAGATCTGGTTAATGGGTGGTACTGCTCCTACCAGCGGCCAATCGGAACACAACATGCCCCTGGCCATGGTGATTGGCTCAAGGGTGGGCATGTGACCCACTCTGGGCCAATGAGGATTTGTCCTGGGACTTTAGCTAGACAGCCAGGAATTCCTTGCAGAAACGTCCCATCCCACTTCACAGCTACGGGGTGTCCCTCTACCATACTGGCCATTGTTTACTCTTAGACCAGAAGTGCCTTCCT